AACCTCCTTCCTGAGGGGAGTGGGGCAAAAAGTGTGTGTGCTGGGTGAGTGGGGTCCTTCATGATGCAGGTGGCCCTTTTCCTGCATCTGGAGGTGTAGATGCAGGAAGATGTCCAGTCTTAATTAGAAAAACTGCGAAAGAGCGAGGGACTATCGTGTTCAAAAGTGGAATTTATATATTTTGAGCTCAAGTCTGTGTTTCTGTTCAGGTAACTATCGGACTCAGCTGTACGACAAACAGAGAGAGGAGTATCTGCCAGCCACTCAGGGTCTGGGGATGTTTGTTGAAGTCAAAGATCCTGATGAGAAGGTAAACACGAATAATTAACACAATCAGGTCAAATCACACAAACATTTCATCAGACTTGTGACTTTGTACCGGACTACAAACGTGACAGGATTGATTTACTGACTGATTTGTCCTCTTAGTCTGACCTTCAGATTTGAATCACAGAAAGCTGATTTATTAATGTTCAGTTTTTGTGTTTGTATCCTGAACCAGTTTTAAGTTCCTCTTTGGTTTCCTGCAGGTGATTCTGTCTCGGCAGTACGGCTCTGAAGGACGTTTCACCTTCACGTCGCACACACCTGGAGAACATCAGATCTGCCTGCACTCCAACTCCTCCAAGTTCTCCCTGTTTGCTGGAGGCATGCTGGTGAGGAGATGCGCTCCACGCGGGGCGCACAGAGTCCGGTGTTTTCATTTCTCTCTATGTCCGCACCGATCCTTTCACGTCCTGATGATGGTGCTTTGTTTGTTTCAGAGGGTTCACCTGGACATCCAGGTGGGCGAGCACGCCAACAACTACGCCGAGATCGCCGCCAAAGACAAACTGACGGAGCTGCAGCTAAGAGTCCGACAACTGGTGGAGCAGGTGGACCAGATCCAGAAGGAGCAGAACTACCAGAGGGTCAGTCCCAGAACTCTGCGCTGTAGGATTTAAGAAGCAGATTAAACCTGAGCTGCAGCCGTCTGAGAGTGAGCTGGTGACGGAGTGCAGAGAGAAGCTGCAGGGAAGGGTTGTAGAAAGTTTTTATTTTTAAGCTCAGGAATGTTTCTGACTGAAGGAGATGGTTCTGAAGTATTCACTGAGAGTCAAAGTTGGAATTCTTTAAATGTCTCCAAGGAGCTCCTAAAACTTAACTCCTTCAAGAAACACCAAACTGTTCTTTATGAAGGGAAGAAGTTTACAGTAATCCCTCGTTTATCGCAAGGGATCCGTACCCTGAAGCCCCGTGATAAGTGAAAACCGTGAAGTAGGAATAGTACAACTAGTAAGTAGTAGTAAGTAGTAGTTTATTTTAGTATGTGTGTATGTATATATATATAT